TTCCATTACATTGCATCATCTTTATCTATCTATCTATCTATCTATCTATTTTCTAAATTTAGTATAAAGATAACAAAAAAGTCGTCGGTCAATTGCTAAAACCTCCTGAAGACTGAACTGACTAATTATGGAAAAGTGTGTCTACGAAACTCTGCCATCAAGTTGCTGAATCTAACATCAAACAGCCAAGTGATACATTTTTTGTATCAATCCTATCTATCTATATAAATATATAAATACATATATATACACACACACACAGATGTACATACATACATACATACATACATACATACATACATATATATATATATATATATATATATATGTATGTATGTATGTATGTATGTATGTATGTATTGGTGCATGTTTCATTAAATAATATGTACAGGTTTTGTCTATTTATTTTATGTAAATTCTTTTCATATCAATTTAATAAGCTTAATAACATTATCATTAAACGATGAAAGAAAGTCACCAATTGATACATATTTTTTAATCCTAAGCTTTCGGCATACATAAGCCATAAGATGACAATTACATTACAGTATATTAAACAATACATGGACAAAACAATAATGATAGTCTGTTTTTGTTTGCATGGAAAATTTCCAAGAAACGACAAACTCGTGCTTACGAGACGCTGGAAGCGAAAATCGCACCGCAGCTCATGACATCGTAGATGACCACGCGAGAGTGTAAACGAGAAGTATAGGAAGCCGTTGGTATAAACCAATGGCTTCTGTTATCAATTATAGGCATTTAAGAATATATATATATATATATATATATATATATATATATAAAAAGTCCGCCCTGACGAAACCTAGGTAGATTTGTCTCGCTCATTAGGTTTACTTAGTTCGCTCGACGATTATTTTCGCCGGAAATACATGTTGTTCGTTCTTTTTTTTTTTTTTTTTTGTACCCTTTTTTTCCCTTGGGTATTGGTTTGTTCATTTGCAAGCTAAAACACCTATGGTTTTGCCGGACGAGTATAACTGCTTATATTTATTAGATTATTAATGTTATATATATATATATATATATATATATATATATATATATATATATATATATATATATATATATATATATAAAACGTTATTTGAGTGGACGCTCCGTTAATTTCTTAAACTGTATATTTATTTTCATCTACGGTTCTGAATACTCGAGAAATCTTATTAGAGAAAATACGCGATCTCCGGCATGATTCGAACCTAACGAAACGCAGACGACAATAAATAAATCTACTGTTTAATATATAAACGGATCGTCTACTCAAATACGAGTATCCACTAAAAATAACGTTTAAGTCATAAAAATCTGTCAAATTAATAAATAAAAAAAAAATCGTCCCCCTTTCTTTACGTATAAAATCTTCCCTGAATGCAATAATTTTTTTTATAACTATCTAACCGTCTCAACTTATACGTAGTCAGCCATCCTTTGGCACCGATCTCCGTTAATGTAACGATCCTTAGCAACGTTTCTAACAATTTCATCATAGCGAAAAAGTTTTATCATGGAATCAAAGCTGGAGTCGTTCTTTTAGAATGACACACACAGCGTAAAATTACTTTGATGGCTTAATAATGATGTTATGAAATTCTATAAATAAAAGACTTTGTTTTTTAAAAAAAAACATTTCTGGAAACTTTCTTTATTAACCTAATAATTACCATTTCTTTAGAGTTTGGAACTGATATCCATTCCTTTCAGGAATTTGTGTTGTCTACGAGTAAGTCAACCCATTTTTGGCACAAGCATATTTGCACATTCTCACGTAAGCGCCACAGTTAATTTGTCCCTGGAGTTCGCAGGAAAACACTAAACAACTACTTAATATTGCAATAAACTCCAACACTCTGGTCGATTGTAAAAAAAAAAAAAGAAAAGTAACATAGCCACCCTTCCAATTAATTGAAGTTTTTTTTTAGTTAAATCAACGCCATATTATGACTTTCACATTAGAATAAATTCTGTAAAAATCATCAGAAGTTAAATAATATCTTTGTGTAATCATTCTGTATTTATGTTGTGATATTGGATAAATTATCATGGGAGCAACAAGGTTATTTTGTTTAAAAGAGTTATACCATTTTAGATGAAGCCTTACACGCGTCTGTGGATGCGTATTTACAGGAGTTCTTAGGCATAAAATCACAGATGGAACGTTTTCCCTTTGACGCAGATAAACGACGTGAATAAAAACACAGAGGAACATGGAGGTTCATATTGGAAGCTTACAAACCGTTGATATCTTCAGAAGACATTTAATATTGTTTAAATAAGAATAAAAGACAAGCGGATATAAAATCTAATTGGTTCAGTCAGAATTTGGAATTGGAATATAATTCAGAATCAAGAAATGTATAATGTTAGTTTCACGCTAAACAAAACAAGGAATTTGATGTTTTTAAAGACTCGAGCCCATTTTTTAAAACAAAATAATCCCGAGCTAAGTTACGCAGTTGGTCTAACAGTCAACCGTGCAACG